TCCAATTTTAGTTGCATTTCTTAAGCTGCCTAGGAAGTCTGTCCAGAAGAAAGTATGCACAGCTCCCATCCTCCCACTCAGAGAAAGAAGAGCCAAATCCCTGAGCTGGAGGACTGCTTACAGGTGTCTACAGTGTCCAGACCAGTCCCAGGTAGGCTGAACCCTGAGAATCTGGGACTGGCGTTTTGACACTTAGCTACATAATAACTTTCCTCCAGGAAAGGAAACGGAGGAAAAGAGGGAGGGGGAGGGGAGACTCAGAAAGTGCAAGACTTCACAAAAAACAAGGACAAAGCCAGAGCCAGTGAAATGATGAAGTGTCTGATAGCTCTTTCCTTCAAGAGTGTGGACACAAGTGAGGAGCGATTAAGAGGCTGAGGCAGGAGGATGACAGTTTGAGATAAGCCAAGGCTGCACCGTGGGACCTGGTCTCAAGATGTAAAGAAAATGAAAAGGGAAGAAAGGAAAGAGGAGGAGGGAGGGAGGGAGGGAGGGAGAGAGGGAGGGAGGGGGAAGGGGAGAGAGGGAGGGAGAGAGGGGGAAGGGAGGGAGGGAGGGAGAGAGGGAGAGAGGGGGAAGGGAGAGACAGAGGGAGGAGGAAGGGAGAGAGGGAGGGAGGGGGAAGGGAGGGAGGGAGGGGGAAGGGAGGGAGGGATGAAGAGTGGGGGAAGGGAGAGAGGGAGGGGGGAGGGAGGGAGGGATGGAGAGAGGAGGAAGGGAGAGAGGGAGGGAGAGAGGGGGAAGGGAGGGAGGGAAGGAGAGAGGAAGGGGGAAGGGAGGGGGGAAGGCTGGCACACACTTGGTCTGGGATAAATGGCTTGAAATAAGCGATCCAGACAATCCTACTAAGCATATTATGGCTCTCAGGATTAGGTATAGAGGGACAGGTGTGTTACATACCCTTCATTTCTCCCAGCTCCATCCTCATCTGCCCTGCCAGAGCTCCATCAGCATCCTCACCACGACAGCCATCACTAACAAGTCAGAGACAGCAACTGCAAAGGGTAGACTAGGAGCCTTCCGCACAAACCTCCAGTGACAGCCGCCACAGTGCAGACTCCACGGTGCACCGAAGCACAAATGGAAAACACAGATGCTGTCCATTCCAGGTCAGACAGGCTGGGGCAGCACAGACTCCGCCCCCTCCTCTTCCCCCCCCCCCCCCGTAAGTGTCCGTCTGCACCTTGGTGAGAGAAGCAGCTTTATGTCAAAGGAGATGCCCAAGCACAGAGCCTATTTGAATTTCGGACCTTCCCTTGACCAACTGTGTGATTCCCAACAGGGTATGTTTTCTTCCCTGAACTGGGGCCACATTTGCAAGGAGAGATTAAAAAAAAAAAGCCCACTCTCACCCCTTGCCTGGAGCTGAAAACGGGGAGTGTCACCTTCTGGGAACTTCATGGCAAACTCATTCCTATGAATTCTTCCTGGGTTCACGGACCAGGAGGCCCCTTCACTACTCCAGCTTTCCCCTAGTTCTGGTTTTCATCGCGGGACCCACACACCATCTATTCTAATCAGTCACAACGCAGATATTATGGGTTGTTATTAAGCTCTCAGTGTTCAGTGAGGTGGGTGCGTTCCTCATACTCATGGAATTTACAAGTCAAATTAGAGAAACGGATCGCCAATAATAACACTCCTGATAAATAAGCCGGAGAAAACGCTATAGAGAAGGAACACCAGCCCATCCGGAGCGATTACCATGGAGACCAGGGGTTCCAGAAGGTCGTTTGTAAGGAAATGACCCGGAAGCAGAGAGCTAAAAGATGAGGAGTTAAGTACATCGAGGGAGGTTGGGGAGGAGGGTAGCAAAGTGTGCCTCAGGGGACTGAGAGCGATGGAGCTTGGGGGACCGATTAGTGCAGAGCCCATTTTGGGCTAGAGGAAGCAGACATCACTGCAGGCTTTGTAGATAACAAACGTGGGCTTGCCTTTTAAACCGGAACCACTACTCCCTCACCCAGATGTCACATCTCATCCTGCATGGGTGGGGACAGCACAAGGCGCAGGTTAAGGATTAGACATGGGGTAGAAATCGGGAGACTGCTGTCCATGGTCCGGGTAAGGGCCCAAGGGACTGGGCTCATGAAGAAGAGCGAGCCCAAGAGCGCTCGGCTGTGATAGCAAGGTGATTCGGTCCCTGCCTCGATGCAGCCTGTGGGGAGACAGTGAGACATTTTTCCGGACAGGGGTACATACGGTGGGACTCGAGTTGTCTGAGCAGACGAGCAGAAGTTCTAAAACACCCGGCTGGACTCTGTCCTGTTCTATCGTCTGTCTCCTGGGCTGGTCTGGCCCCACACAGCCCTTTCAGATGAGCCCTGCTCCTGCAATCCCAATTACAGGGTTAGGGATCACCACACCTCAACTCTAACTAGATCCTTGCCCAGATTTCAGAGTATCTCTTTGGGGATTTTACTTGTTTGAAAAAAGAAGCCAGCGTGTGCTTAGTCACACAGTTCCGGTCTGTATCCTGGTTCGCGCTCGTTTGCAGCCTCAGGTCCAGACAAGTGCCTACTAAATGCTCAAGGATAGCAACTGTGACACCCGCAGGTCCAACCAGCCTAACATCCCAGCACCAGACCCACCCAGTGGGGGCTCCCAGCATCCGCAGATCCACGGCGGGGAGGGGGTTCGGTCTGTCAGCATCCCAGGCACCTATCCACCTTGGGGGGTTGGGGGGTTCTCAGCATCCCAGCACCTGATCCACCCACAGGGCCAAGCCCTCCTGCCCTCTCTTCGTGAGTGAGACTCAACCTCCCTGCTCTCCCCAGCTGAGTCCCACTGGCTCCAATTCAAAGGTAGGAGCATCTTCCTCTAGCTATGATGGGAGAGACACTTTTACTTCATTTCCAGCTTCTAGGAACCAGAATGATGCATCCTCACGGTAATAGACTAATAACTGGTTTGCTGAATTTTTTCACTCTGGTGAAACGATTTTAATGCTTTTACTAATGTACAAGGAGGCGGAGGAGGGCGTTCACACCAAATTCTTACTGACACTCTCTTCTGAGATAGGCAACTTTCTGGAAAGGATGGAACTCTTCACGGTTTTTGCATTAGGGTTCGGGGCACGGAAGGGAAATGACAGCTTGCTAAAACTCCCAAGATCATCAAAGTAGGCTAGAACAAAGAAACAAAAAATGGAATTTTACAATAAGCAGTTAACTGATTTTTGCAGGAATAAATTCGCGTGCAGGGCTGCATAGTAAAAACCTCCCCGAGTGTTTAATAGTGTATTGGTGAAGGACTATTTACACTGATTGTGTCTTCGACTAACCAATTCAGGCAAACTTAATAATGAGAAGCTTGAGGAGAAAATAAGCCTCTGGCTAAGTTGGAATAATGATTAATTCCCAACTGCAATTAGCACCTCAGAAGGTCTCCGCAGAGACAGAGAAGCTAGCTGGGTGTGCGGCGGCAATGACGTAATTCAACTGTTTATGTCTGGACGGAGCCTCATTGATGGAGTTGGGGGCAGGGTACAGACTGTCTCTTTTTTAAAATTCGTATTAATTTGTTTTGTGTACGTGCATATTGGAAAGGAGGAAATTCGTGGAGAGGCAGGTCTCTCCTCGGAACACATGGGCTCTGAGGATCAAACTCAGACTGTCCAGCCTGGTTGCATGTGTTCTGCCCACTGAACCATCCCACCAGCCCCTCTCCATCTGTGTTTGTTGTTGTGGTTTGTTTGTTGTTTTAACGTGTATATCGCCTGCATGTATGTCTGTATACCACCAGTGTGTCTGATACCTGAGGAGCCCAGAAGAGACGAATGGATCTCCTAGAATTGTAGTTAACAGTTGCAAGCTGCCGTGTGGGTGCTGGGAATGAAACCTGGATTCTCTTAAAGAGCAGCAAGTGCTCTTCGCTGCTTAGCCATTTCCCCAGCCCCCATTTCTCTTCTCCTTCTCCTTCTTCACAGAGTTTCTCTGTATTGCTTTGGAGCCTGTCTTGGAACTAGCTCTGTAGACCAGGCTGGCCTGGAACTGACAGAGATCCGCCTGCCTCTGCCTCCTGAGTGCTGGGATTAAAGGTGTAGGACACCAACGGCCGGCTCCTTCTTCTTCTGTTTTAAAAGATGACTTCTAATTTTTTTTTTTTTTAGATTTATTTTCTTTATGTGTATGAGTATTTTACTGCAATGCATGTCTGGGTATCATGTGCACCCTGGAACTGGTGTTGTGGACAGATAGGAACCATCGTGTGGGTGATGGGAATCAAACCAGGATCTTCTCTAAGAACAAGTGCTCTTAACCACCGAGCCGCATCACCAGCAGCCCCACCTCCACCCATCTCTGTTCTTAAAGAAGGTACCGTCTTAGTAGCTCTTTAGGAGCTAGGTTCATACAATGGTTTGTATTAGTGCCTTAGGTTTCTGTTGCTGTAAAGAAACACCATGACCACAGCAGCTCTTACAAGGAAAGCATGCTGGCATGTAGGCAGACATGGTTCTGAGATGTAGGCTGGTCTGGTCTTGAACCCACAGAGAACTACCTGCCCCTGCCTCCAGGTACTGGGATTAAAGGTTTATGTCACCTTGTCCTGCTGAGATTAAACAAACAAACCAACCCAAAAAAAAAAAAAAAAAATGTGGACAGACTCTCACACCAGAAATTCTGATTTAAGACTTAATTGATTTGAATGGAGCCCTAGCTACTGGAAAGTGTGTGTGTGTGTGTGTGTGTGTGTGTGTGTGTGTGTTGCTATATTTTAGATTTTCTCAGGTGACGGCACAGACATTTAATTCTATTAGTCAGGAGACTGAAGCAGGAGAATTACAAGCTTGAGGCTAGACTGGGCCAAGCAGTGAGACCAGCTGGGGTATACATACTGAGACTGTCTTTGAAAAGGATGATAGGGTTTGTCAGAGGGAGGGGGAGAGAAGGAAAAGAGAGGAATGAAAAAAAAAAAAACAAGAATGCTTACCCAAAGACAGTGGTACACGTCTTTAAACCAGCTAAAACTAGAAATGAGTATCTACTTTCTTAAAATTAAAAAATGTGGAATGCTTCATGAATTTGCATGCCAGCTTTGCACAGGGGCCATGCTAATCTCTGTATCATTCCAATTTTAGTATATGTGATGCCAAACTGAGCACAGAAATACTTGCTTTTAAGAGGCAGGATCTCACTGTGTAGCCCAGGCTAACCTTAAACTCACTGTGTAGCCCAGGCTAACCTTAAACTCACTATGTAGCCCAGGCTAACCTTAAACTCACTGTGTAGCCCAGGCTAACCTTAAACTCACTGTGTAGCCCAGGCTAACCTTATGTAGCCCAAGCTAACCTTAAACTCACTGTGTAGCCTAGGCTAACCTTATGTAGCCCAGGCTAACCTTAAACTCACTGTGTACCCAGGCTGCTGTCAGCCTCCTCTTTAGTGCTAGAATTACAGATGTGCACCCACACCCAGTTAATTTCTATTTACTTACTTGTTTATACATTTTATTTAGAGGCACGGCCTCACTTTGTTGCTCTGGTTGACCTAGACATCACTTTGTAGACGGGGCTGGCCTGGAACTCATATAGCGCTACCTGCCTCTGCCTTCCAAGTTCTGGGCCTGGATGTGTACAACACCACTCCTAACATCTATTTCTGTTTTAAATGAGGTTCCCAACTGGTATTCTGGTAGAAGTCACTTTAAATAAAGATGTTCTGGTACATTCCCATCTTCTTCCTTTACATTTATAATGTATATAATCCCATTCAGCCTATACAACTGATGAATTTGGAATTCATCAAATTTTATCTAAAGTCCAAGATGAAGTAACAATGGGATTTTTTTTTCTTAGTGTGAAAACATTACCTGTCTGTTGAGCGGTGGTAGCACATCCAGTATAAGACAGATTCTCTTGGTGTAGCCATGTCAGTAAAGGATTCGTGAGAATTGTCACCACCAAATAGGAGTTTCTGTCTTTATTTATGTCTGAAAAAACTCAATGGTGGAAATATTAACAGGAGGAAGGGTTAACTGAAGAACTTGCAGGGGTGGGTTTTAGGTGGTGTCATCGGGTTTTAGATGACGTCACCAGCTCAGTGACATGAATGGACACAAAAATCTGCTTGGACATTATGCAGAGAACAAAAAAAAAAAAGCTTTCTTTTTATATATACAGGAACTGTCTGTCCCTACAAGGACTACAATCTTCTCAGGACTAATACCAGATGGTTACACAGTGTTAAAATGATTATTTCCAAAATAACACAAAATTTGGACTACTTTGTCAAAGACTCTGGTGAATTATATATGAAGTTATTTCCTACTAATCCAACCTGATATTTGAGACTGACTATTTTACTCACTTTTGGGTTTCAGGCCAATACTGTGGTAAGCTGACAACAATCCAAATATGATTTCAATGTGGTTCCGATCATGACTTCCAGGAACCCAGAAGCAAATGCACTCTGTCATTTGATGCCCTACCCCATGGATTGGAGCAAGAGCTGCTACCTCAGTTGGGACCACTTAACTGGCAACTTAGGATCTGTTTACAAAATTAGATGTGCAAGACACTTTGCTCACCCAAATCATCTCCACAGAGAGCGTGGTTTGACCTTAACTAGCTCACAAATTGAATCTTAGTTTTTGCAGACAAAAGGTTAATCAGCATCGGCCATCAAATGTAGTGGTGTGTGAAGATGACATATTGCTTCTCTGAGACCTTAGGCAACATGATCTTTTGGCTGTCAACTTGATGGGACCTGGAACCACTTGGGAGCTAAGCCTCCAGCACACCTCTAAGGGATTATTTGGAGTCTTGGGTGTACCTTGGTGAATACGCTGATCATATTAATGGAGTTAGGAAGACCAAGACTAAAAGCGGGCGGCACCTGCCCCCTCACTTCGAAGAAAGGAAAAAGCCACTGAGTATACTCTTACATCCTTCTCCATTTCCTGGATACAAATGCAATGTGACCAAGATCCTGTGACTTCCCCACGATGATGGATATAGGACAGTGACCCAGAATAAGCCCTTCCTTCCTCAATAGCTTTTCCCTGGTGTGGGTTACCACAGCAATAGCAAAAGAAACTGAAACAGCAGGCTACCAAGTTACCAGACTTTGTTCTTTCACAACCCATCCTGTCTGGGTCACTGCAGAAAGGGAAAGAATTGTGTCTATAAAGTATCTGACAGTTTCCAAGAGAGACAAGGTATTTAACACTACTGCTTCCTGTTAAGAGCAGTTTTCCCACAGCATGGTCCCACCGCTATGTCGGCCCCAAAGAACACACAGAGATGCCATATTAAATATAAAGCCTGTTGGCCCGTTACTAGCGTTTCTTATTGGCTAGCCATTTCTATCAATCTAAGTGTTTCCACATGGTCTTCTCTTACTGGAGAGAGGGGCTGGACTCCTCTCTCAAGTACCTACATCTTGAATTTCCTACTACATCTCCCAGAATTCTCCTTGTCTCCTAGTCCCACCTATCTTGCTTCCTATTGGCCAATGGTGCTTTATTCATTAACCAATAAGAGAAACACATTTACAGACTGACAGCTCCCATCAGCTTCTTCTCTACTCCTTGTCTCAGGGACACCTGAAAATATTTCTAGAGATGAACCCATGGCAAATGCTTGACGAAGCATCACTCTATCTGAGAAATGTCCTAGCCTTGCAAAGAAAGTGCAAAGTGAAAATTCACACAGATTTGAGGACAGGTTTTGTTTGCCCCACCACGTCAAACTCTTCTCCTTCCTGTAATTACGAAGTGTGACAGCTCTCTGACACGACCTTGTTTCCTCTGCCTAGTACATTCTTAGGACAGTGGGTTGAAGATCTACGCCTGTGTCACTAAAATTCCTATGTTGGCCCCTAAGCCTCAGTGGGACGGAGTTAGATGGGGCCCCTGAGAAGTGGTTAGTTGATGAGCACAGTTGAGCGGTATTAGTGCCCTTATGAAAGGACTCCAAACGCTGCCGACTCTGTTTCCACCATCAGACCACACAGAGACAATGACAGTCTGTGAACCAGGAAGCAAGCCCCCAGCGGACGCCGAAATGAATCTTCCAGCACCTTCATCTTGGATGTTCAGGTTCCAGAACTCTAAGAATTAAATGGTTCCTGTCTAAACCACCCTGTCCATACTTGTTTGCTACAATAACCTGAACAAACACTAGGTTAGAGACGCCTTGGCAACCATTCATCACTCAGTGTTGGAAGCCACTAGATTAAATAAATTTTAAGATAACTTTAAATAGAAGATATTATGTAGCAACAACAAGAAAATCAAGATAGAAATGGCTAAAAATAAGTGTAGTAGGTGCAGAGCTAGCTACCAATTGGGCAATGAGGGAAGCAGAAGACTTATAATTGCACTTTAGACTATCCCAAACTATTTATTTTTTGCATGTGCTCACACACACACACACACACACACACACACGTTAATCTTACTGTTGTATTTTTAACTTTTCATCTCTCATATGTAGTGTATCTTAAAGATGCCTGAGGTCTGTAGGAGAAAGCAAGGTATTTTTCTAGGTGTGTTAGTTAAGGTTGGCTAGCAGCTATAATGAATTAACCCCAAAATGTCTAATGGCCCAAACACTATATTTAATTTTCACTTTCGGGCAAGACAGTTGTAGGTGGTGGTGAGGAGGGCTGGAGAAGTGGGGAGGAGGGAGAGAAGCCTATTTGTGTCAGGAGGCATGGGAGGCTGTGCCCAGTTTGAGTGGCTCCAGCCCATCCACTGTCTAACTGCGGGTGCATGAGCGATGCTAAACATGAACTAACCCCATAAACCCCAACGGCCACAAACGCTCATAATAATAACACTGACACTTAAACTCAGGACGTTTCAGCTGGTTATCCATCCAGAACGTGATTTTGGTCAGATGCCTGCCTCACTTTACCATAAAAACTAATAGAGGAAATTTCACTCGATAACTAAAGCACATGTTACCACCTAGCAACATTATAGAACAGCCATGCTGCAGGCCTTAATGGTGAATATAAAGCCAAGGATGTGTTCTCCACCCATTTTAAATGTCTGGTTCGAGGAAGTAATGCCAACACAGGACTGTTGGGGGCCTGTGTGTTTCCCTGGATTTTGTAGATGCGTCCTTTGATTTCATTCACATTGAGAGAATTTCCAACTGAGCAGTATTTCCTTCATGTCTAATAAAATTGCTTTCAGTGAGCTATGCTATGCAGGTCATTCTAGAGGTTCATACTACGGCTCGTAGCTGGGGGAAATATCTAACGCTGTACAATAGTTTCTAGGGCTCTGTTTACCACATCCCCATAATGCTCCGAGAATAAAACAGCAGATCAGAACTCTATCTTAATTTCCTATAAAATGTAAGAAACCAGAATCATTTGTCTTTGTAAGTCAAGATAATCATACTTGGCTTTCATTTCTTTCGGTAGACAATCCAGTACAGATTTGTAGCTGAGCTTAGATAATTAGGTGCTGTGTTTGCCATGATGCTGGCTTTATTTATTATTTATATTTTCTATTTGGGTGCATTTTTTATCACAAGCTTTCTCAAACCCCTATGGCAGAAGACATAATAATTACAAGGGAAAAGTGGATGAATATATAAGTGAATTACTCTTCTGAGACCTCCCAAATTATAGGCCTACTCTCAGACTGATTTAATGATTCATTCATTTGCTTCCAAACATGGATTAAGTTTCTATTATGTCTAGGCAGTTTATTATAGTCGCAACTGAAGTAACCCTTGAACCCATTATCCTTGCCTATAGCAAAAACAGAGTGCCTGAGATCTGTTGAGGTAGCAGGAGCTGATTTCAAATAGTAACATCCCCGAGATTCCATAGTAGTCACGAAGCCAAATCTCTTGATCTTTACATAAATATGGCAGGGGGTTCCTAGCCAAGAACTTCTCTACAAGTTTGAATTTGTTTTGAAACATTTGAAAAGTTCCTCCGAGATCTTGGAGAAAGTGTTAGTAAAGCTTGTCCCTTGGAATTCCTGTGCTACTCTCACAACTGACGGACCCGTTTAGCCTCTGCCAGCAGTAGTTCTCAACCTATGGGTTGCGACCCCTTTCAGGGTGGGGAGGGGTAGGGTATCCAGGTGGGGTGTGGATCGACCCTTTCACAGGGGTCGCCTAAGGCCATCTGCATGTCA